TCTGATTGTGATGTCCACTGTCTGATTGTGATGTCCACTGTCTGATTGTGATGTCCCCTGTCTGATTGTGATGTCCCCTGAATAAATGTTATGTTCCCCTGTCTGAATGTGATGTCCCTTCACTGATGGTGATGTCTTGATGTCCCCTGTGTGATTTGTTGTCTCCTACACTCCCCTCCCCCCTAAAAAAAAAACCCATATACCCTGATATTCCTTGCCTGAAAGTGAAAAAAGAAACTTGGGCTGATATTGCTAAGCAATTACCACCCCAACCCCCACCACCCTTTGTCCGTTGCTATTCTTTAAATAAATTAAATAAATTCAGTTGAAATATAATTGATGGTATATTTTCTCTTCAGTCCTACACCACAAGACCTGGCAGCATGTATAGAACAAGCCAATCTCGCACTCACACTCTTCTTCAACAACAAGTTTACTCAAGCCAGAGAACTACTACAGCCATGGTAAGTAAAAGGAGGGAACTTTTACAGCTATAGTAAGTGAAGCTGGGGAGGGGGGGGTGGGACTTCTACAGCAATGGTAAGTAAAAGGAGGGAACTTTTACAGGAAAGGTAAGTGAAGGGAGGGAACTTCTACAGGAAAGGTAAGTGAAGGGAGGGAACTTCTACAGCAATGGTAAGTGAAGGGAGGGAACTTTTACAGCTATAGTAAGTGAAGCTGGGGAGGGGGGGTGGGACTTCTACAGCAATGGTAAGTAAAAGGAGGGAACTTTTACAGCTATGGTAAGTGAAGCGGGGGAGGGGGGGACTTCTACAGGCATAGTAAGTAGAGAAAGGGAACTTTTACAGCCATGGTAAGTGAAGGGAGGGAACTTCTACAGGAAAGGTAAGTGAAGGGAGGGAACTTCTACAGCAATGGTAAGTGAAGGGAGGGAACTTCTACAGCAAAGGTAAGTGAAGGGAGGGAACTTCTACAGGAAAGGTAAGTGAAGGGAGGGAACTTCTACAGCAATGGTACTACAGCAATGGTAAGTGAAGGGAGGGAACTTCTACAGGAAAGGTAAGTGAAGGGAGGGAACTTCTACAGGAAAGGTAAGTGAAGGGAGGGAACTTCTACACGAAAGGTAAGTGAAGGGAGGGAACTTCTACAGCAATGGTAAGTGAAGGGAGGGAACTTCTACAGCAAAGGTAAGTGAAGGGAGGGAACTTCTACAGGAAAGGTAAGTGAAGGGAGGGAACTTCTACAGGAAAGGTAAGTGAAGGGAGGGAACTTCTACAGGAAAGGTAAGTGAAGGGAGGGAACTTCTACAGGAAAGGTAAGTGAAGGGAGGGAACTTCTACAGGAAAGGTAAGTGAAGGGAGGGAACTTCTACAGCAATGGTAAGTGAAGGGAGGGAACTTCTACAGCAAAGGTAAGTGAAGGGAGGGAACTTCTACAGCAATGGTAAGTGAAGGGAGGGAACTTCTACAGCCATGGTAAGTGAAGGGAGGGAACTTCTACAGCAATGGTAAGTGAAGGGAAGGAACTTCTACAGGAAAGGTAAGTAAAGGGAGGGAACTTCTACAGGAAAGGTAAGTGAAGGGAGGGAACTTCTACAGCAATGGTAAGTGAAGGGAGGGAACTTCTACAGCAATGGTAAGTGAAGGGAGGGAACTTCTACAGGAAAGGTAAGTGAAGGGAGGGAACTTCTACAGCAATGGTAAGTGAAGGGAGGGAACTTCTACAGCAATGGTAAGTGAAGGGAGGGAACTTCTACAGCAATGGTAAGTAAAGGGAGGGAACTTCTACAGGAAAGGTAAGTGAAGGGAGGGAACTTCTACAGCAATGGTAAGTGAAGGGAGGGAACTTCTACAGCAATGGTAAGTGAAGGGAGGGAACTTCTACAGGAAAGGTAAGTGAAGGGAGGGAACTTCTACAGCAATGGTAAGTGAAGGGAAGGGAGGGAACTTCTACAGGAAAGGTAAGTGAAGGGAGGGAACTTCTACAGCAATGGTAAGTGAAGGAAGGGAACTTCTACAGCCATGGTAAGTGAAGGGAGGGAACTTCTACAGCCATGGTAAGTGAAGGGAGGGAACTTCTACAGGAAAGGTAAGTGAAGGGAGGGAACTTCTACAGCAATGGTAAGTGAAGGGAGGGAACTTCTACAGGAAAGGTAAGTGAAGGGAGGGAACTTCTACAGCAATGATAAGTAAGGGAGGGAACTTCTACAGCAATGGTAAGTGAAGGGAGGGAACTTCTACAGCAATGATAAGTAAGGGAGGGAACTTCTACAGCAATGGTAAGTAAGGGAGGGAACTTCTACAGCAATTGTTATGAGAAAGTCAAGAGAGGAACCTCCATCATGTTTGGTAAAACAAGAGAGGAACCTTCTACATGTTTGGTAAAACAAGAGAGGAACCTCCTACATGTTTGGTAAAACAAGAGAGGAACCTCCTACATGTTTGGTAAAACAAGAGAGGAACCTCCTACATGTTTGTTTTACTACATGTTTGGTAAAACAAGAGAGGAACATCCTACATGTTTGGTAAAACAAGAGAGGAACCTCCTACATGTTTGGTAAAACAAGAGAGGAACCTCCTACATGTTTGGTAAAACAAGAGAGGAACCTCCTACATGTTTGGTAAAACAAGAGAGGAACCTCCTACATGTTTGGTAAAACAAGAGAGGAACATCCTACATGTTTGGTAAAACAAGAGAGGAACCTCCTACATGTTTGGTAAAACAAGAGAGGAACCTCCTACATGTTTGGTAAAACAAGAGAGGAACCTGCTACATGTTTGGTAAAACAAGAGAAGAACATCCTACATGTTTGGTAAAACAAGAGAGGAACCTGCTACATGTTTGGTAAAACAAGAGAGGAACATCCTACATGTTTGGTAAAACAAGAGAGGAACCTCCTACATGTTTGGTAAAACAAGAGAGGAACATCCTACATGTTTGGTAAAACAAGAGAGGAACCTCCTACATGTTTGGTAAAACAAGAGAGGAACCTCCTACATGTTTGGTAAAACAAGAGAGGAACCTCCTACATGTTTGGTAAAACAAGAGAGGAACATCCTACATGTTTGGTAAAACAAGAGAGGAACATCCTACATGTTTGGTAAAACAAGAGAGGAACCTGCTACATGTTTGGTAAAACAAGAGAGGAACCTCCTACATGTTTGGTAAAACAAGAGAGGGACCTCCTACATGTTTGGTAAAACAAGAGAGGAACCTCCGACATGTTTGGTAAAACAAGAGAGGAACATCCTACATGTTTGGTAAAACAAGAGAGGAACCTCCTACATGTTTGGTAAAACAAGAGAGGAACCTCCTACATGTTTGGTAAAACAAGAGAGGGACCTCCTACATGTTTGGTAAAACAAGAGAGGAACCTCCTACATGTTTGGTAAAACAAGAGAAGAACATCCTACATGTTTGGTAAAACAAGAGAGGAACCTCCTACATGTTTGGTAAAACAAGAGAAGAACATCCTACATGTTTGGTAAAACAAGAGAAGAACATCCTACATGTTTGGTAAAACAAGAGAGGAACATCCTACATGTTTGGTAAAACAAGAGAGGAACCTGCTACATGTTTGGTAAAACAAGAGGTGAACCTCCTACATGTTTGGTAAAACAAGAGAGGAACCTCCTACATGTTTGGTAAAACAAGAGGGGAACATCCTACATGTTTGGTAAAACAAGAGAGGGACCTCCTACATGTTTGGTAAAACAAGAGAGGAACCTGCTACATGTTTGGTAAAACAAGAGAGGAACCTCCTACATGTTTGGTAAAACAAGAGAGGAACCTGCTACATGTTTGGTAAAACAAGAGAAGAACATCCTACATGTTTGGTAAAACAAGAGAAGAACATCCTACATGTTTGGTAAAACAAGAGAAGAACATCCTACATGTTTGGTAAAACAAGAGAGGAACCTCCTACATGTTTGGTAAAACAAGAGAGGAACCTGCTACATGTTTGGTAAAACAAGAGAGGAACCTCCTACATGTTTGGTAAAACAAGAGAAGAACATCCTACATGTTTGGTAAAACAAGAGAGGGACCTCCTACATGTTTGGTAAAACAAGAGAGGAACCTGCTACATGTTTGGTAAAACAAGAGAGGAACCTCCTACATGTTTGGTAAAACAAGAGAGGAACATCCTACATGTTTGGTAAAACAAGAGAGGAACCTGCTACATGTTTGGTAAAACAAGAGAGGAACATCCTACATGTTTGGTAAAACAAGAGAGGAACCTGCTACATGTTTGGTAAAACAAGAGAGGAACATCCTACATGTTTGGTAAAACAAGAGAGGAACCTCCTACATGTTTGGTAAAACAAGAGAGGAACCTCCTACATGTTTGGTAAAACAAGAGAGGAACATCCTACATGTTTGGTAAAACAAGAGAGGAACCTGCTACATGTTTGGTAAAACAAGAGAGGAACCTGCTACATGTTTGGTAAAACAAGAGAGGAACATCCTACATGTTTGGTAAAACAAGAGAGGAACCTCCTACATGTTTGGTAAAACAAGAGAGGAACATCCTACATGTTTGGTAAAACAAGAGAGGAATCTTCTACATTTTTATTAAGTCAAAGAAGGGATTTTCTTGATCTTTTGTCCTTAGTTAAGTGAAAGAATTTCCAGGGATAGACCGGAAAGGGAACTCCTACTTTTGTCCTTTGTTCATTAGGGGACAACCTTCCAGGAAAAGTTAAGTGAGGGCACTCCTGTTGCTTTTGTTAAGGGAGAAAATTTCCTGGGTAAATGATTGATTTGGGATGGGGGAAGGGCTGAGGGTATAGATGTTGGTATGTACCATTTCCTTGGATGGGGGAGATAGAGTGTGAGGGTTGAGGGTATAGATGTTGGTCTGTACCATTCCCTGGGGTAGGGGAGATGGAATGGGAGGGCTGGGGGTATGGATGTTGATATATATTATTATGTCTATTTACAGTGTGGACTGGAGTATGTACCATTCCCTGGGGTAGGGGCGATGGAATGGGAGGGCCGGGGGTATGGATGTTGATATATATTATTATGTCTATTTACAGTGTGGACTGGAGTATGTACCATTCCCTGGGGTATGGTACTATCATGTACCTACAAGCAGTCATGACATTTGATATGGTGAGTTCAAATTTCACACAAAAATTTCAGATGAAATTAATAACACCATTTTGACAATTGACTGCTTTTATTTCAGAAATTCAAATTTTAGAGGAAAAAGAAAGCTAACTTCCAGATCGCTTTTGTCTCTGGTAAAAGCTAGGACCTCATTCGTCTCTGAAATATCATCTTGTGTAACAGTCACATTTTATTAGTGATTGACCATGTACATTTGAAGGTGATGTGATGGATTCTATTATCTAATGATGTTTCATAATGTCTGACCTGTCCCTGCTTGTACTGTAGAAACCATTTGAGTTGAATACATCCTTTTTTCAGCTGTGATGATAATGTCTTTAAGTAATATTTTGTTTTGTTAGATTATTGTAATGTAAAATGTTTTTGACATGTTAGGCCACAGTGGCCATTCTGTAACATGATTGATGTTCATAAACCAGCTGTAAACATTTTGAGGTGTTCATTTTTTACAGAATGATATAGAGGTAGCCATCCAGACAATCAAGTCATCTCTAGTAGTGTGTAATAAGTACAGACGGAAAGTCTCCGTGTTGGAGGCCATCACTCGCAGCTCTAGTCGCAACAACTACAATGATCTTTCAGAAAGTAAGTATTGACAAAGACAAACAAACAGACAAAAAGACTGACACCACTAGACAGACAAACACTGCTAAAAAGACAGACACTGCCAGACAGACAGACAGACACTACCAGACAGGAAGATATTGCTAGACAGACACTGCCAAACAGTGACTGCCAGACAGACATAAAATTGTTAAAATTACATAATGCAATAGGAAGGTGTTTGATAAAAGCACAATATAATATAAGAAAAGAGGTCATTATTTATTTTGATGCCTCTGGTAGGAATCGAATCCAGGACCCCTGGCTTACTACTCTGATGCTCAACCGATCAAGCTACAGAGAAGTTCTCTCTAGCCGAGTGGTATATTGCGGTAAGTATTTTAGCTTGGTTACATAAATATCACAGTTGATGAGATTAATGTTGGAGAGATTTAAATAATAACAACTATGAATTTTTTATTTTGCTGATTTTCAGTTGAGATCCATGCAGAACTTTGCTATGCAGAATGTCTGATGATCAGGGCCCTGCTCACGTTCATACAGGATGAAAATCTCATCAGTTTTGTAAAAGGAGGACTCAAAATTAGGGAATGTTACAAAGTCTACAAGTAAGTTACCTCCATTCATAGAACTTGTTGTTAGACCAGAATGCATGGTGACAACTGACTTTACACTATTGCCCTCTCGCCAAATAGTAATCTGTTGTCAGTAATACAGGAAACAGATGTTTTCTAAAGCATGTAAAATACAGTTTTGTTTGTGCCGAAGATAAACATTGTCTCAAAATATATTTATACCGAAAAGATAAATCTCAATCCTTAACATTTTTTGTGTCGTGTCTAAATTTTCAAATTGAACTAAATTATCTCCCTTTTTAGCCCACCATCATCACCCTTTCTTAAATTTCATATGTAGGTTCCCCTTTGTCTCTAGTTGTGCTCATTTGATCAGAAAAACAAAATGGCCGACAGATGGCCATCTTAAATTTTGACTTTGAGCTTTCTCAAATTTCAAGTGTGTGTTTCCCTTGATCCTTAGTTATGCCTGAGAAAAGAATGGAAAAGATCCAACTTTCAAAGAATAAATAAAGATTAAACAATGATGGGCGCCAAGATCCCTCAGGGATCTCTTGTTTGGTACTGTGATACGTCAGAAAGATTTGTATATATGATGTTATTTAATTCATATTGCGACTTTGTGCCCATGTAAAGGTCGCAGACAGATCAGAACAGATAGTTTCCATTTCAGATTTCATTGTCTCATTTACAAAAAAAAAAACTGTCCAATAAGTTCTTGTCTACATCATGGCTGATGAAACTGTGAAGTTTTTCTCCTAATTATTGTCATTTCCTTTCTACCAATAGCCTTAAAGTCTTACAACTTGAGGTACATATGATGGTTGTTGCGATATTCCATCAGATAATAAATTTGAAGGATCAGCAGCCTCATGATAACATTATAGGAATCTATAACCGGAAATGTGAGGGTAAAAGATCAATCTGTTTCATACACATCATCTTTACATGTATAACTATACTTCAGAGAATGCAATCGAATGCTGAAGCACCGAACCTTTAAAGAGGAAAAGATCCACTTTGAGAGCGGAGTAAGGATGGGTGTTGGTGGGTTTAATTTGGTAAGTAATCCAATCCTAAAAATGTAGGAAATATTTACCTTTTGTAGAAAAGTATCATATTACAGAAGACTATTTGGGGAAAAAATGTGAAATAACTCACAACTTTAAAGCCTCAGAAGATATCTAAAAATGCAAGATATGCCATATACTGAAATTTCATTGATATTTCAAAACTTAACTAGTCACTTTTTTTCTTAAATTGATTGGATATCATTTATCGATGATTTGTGTTTTAAAGTCAACTTTTAAATAATTCTTTATCTTAAACTGTAGATCAATATAAAACTTATTAGCAACATCAACTTGAACCTCTAAAATTGACATTGTTTTTGTGAAAGTGATGCTGTGATGTTTGCTTGGGGATTTGAAGTACCATTTATAACTAATCTGACGTTGATATTTCCAGATGATATCATTGCTTCCTGGTAAAATACTAAAACTACTGGAGTTTGTAGGATTCTCTGGCAATAAAGTAAGTATTGGTGTAATTCATCCCTGTGTGATTAGGTCTGACGTCATGTTATAATTCATCACTGAGTGATTAGGTCTGACGTCATGTTATAATTAGTCCCTGTGTGATTAGGTCTGACGTCGTGTTTTTATTCATCACTGAGTGATTAGGTCTAACGTCATGTTATAATCCATCTCTGAGTGATTAGGTCTGACGTCATGTTATAATCCATCCCTGAGTGATTAGGTCTGACATCATGTTATAATTCATCCCTGAGTGATTAGGTCTGACATCATGTTATAATTCGTCACTGAGTGATCAGGTCTGACGTCATGTTATAATTCATCCCTGAGTGATTAGGTCTGACGTCATGTTATAATTAGTCCCTGAGTGATTAGGTCTGACGTCATGTTATAATTAGTCCCTGAGTGATTAGGTTTGACGTCATTTTATAATTCATCCCTGAGTGATTAGGTCTGATGTCATGTTATAATTAGTCCCTGAGTGATTAGGTCTGATGTCATGTTATAATTCATCCCTGAGTGATTAGGTCTGACGTCATGTTATAATTAGTCCCTGAGTGATTAGGTCTGACGTCATGTTATAATTAGTCCCTGAGTGATTAGGTCTGACGTCATGTTATAATTAGTCCCTGAGTGATTAGGTTTGACGTCATTTTATAATTCATCCCTGAGTGATTAGGTCTGACGTCATGTCATAATTAGTCTCTGAGTGATAAGGTCTGACGTCATGTTATAATTAGTCCCTGAGTGATTAGGTTTGACGTCATGTTATAATTCATCCCTGAGTGATTAGGTCTGATGTCATGTTATATTTCATCCCTGAGTGATTAGGTCTGACGTCATGTCATAATTAGTCTCTGAGTGATCAGGTCTGACGTCATGTTGACAACCATTCCTTGAATTAAACACTCCATGATGTAGATGATGTTATTGAAATGAATGTCCAACCAACATTGTTTCTTACAGAAAGTTGGACTGAGTGAACTACAGAAGGGTACGGAAGTGTTGTCAAGTCTTCGTGGACCACTATGTTCTATAGTGTTGATAGCCTACCACACTGTAGTCTGTTTTGTATTAGGTTTGTATTTGGTTACCATTATCATCTGTAGTCTGTTACATTTTAGGTCTGTAGTCTGTCGTCAGTTACATATTATGTCTGTAGTCTGTTACGTATTAGTTCTGTAGTCTGTCATCAGTTACATATTAGGTCTGTACTCTGTTTTCTGTTACATATTAGGTCTGTAGTCTGTGGTCTGTTACATATTAGGTCTGTAGTCTGTTGTCTGCTACATATTAGGTCCATAGTCCAGACTGTCGTCTGTTATGTATTAGGTCTGTAGTCTGTCGTCAGTTACATATTAGGTCTGTAATCTGTCGTCTGTTACGTATTAGGTCTGTAGTCTGTCGCCTGTTATGAATTATGGTTTGTAGTCTGTCGTCTGTTACATATTAGGTCTGTAGTCTGTTGTCTGTTACATATTAGGTCTGTAGACTCTCGTCTGTTACATATTAGGTCTGTAGACTCTCGTCTGTTACATATTAGGTCTGTAGTCTGTTGTCTGTTACATATTAGGTCTGTAGTCTGTCGTCTGTTACATATTAGGTCTGTAGACTCTTGTCTGTTACATATTAGGTCTGTAGTCTGTTGTCTGTTACATATTAGGTCTGTAGACTCAGACTGTTGTCAGTTACATATTAGATCAGTAGTCTGTCATCTGTTATTAGGCCTGTAGTCCAGACTCTCATCTGTTACATATTACGTCTGTAGTCCAGACTCTCATCTGTTACATATTAGGTCTGTTTTCTGTCGTCTGTTACATATCAGGTCTGTAGTCCAGACTCTCGTCTGTTACATATTAGGCCTGTAGTCCAGACTCTCATCTGTTACATATTACGTCTGTAGACTGTCGTCTGTTATGTATTAGGTCTGTAGACTCTCGTCTGTTACATGTTATGTCTGTAGTCCAGACTCTCATCTGTTATATATTAGGCCTGTAGTCCAGACTCTCATCTGTTACATATTACGTCTGTAGTCCAGACTCTCATCTGTTACATATTACGTCTGTAGTCCAGACTCTCATCTGTTACATATTAGGCCTGTAGTCCAGACTCTCATCTGTTACATATTAGGCCTGTAGTCCAGACTCTCATCGTCTGCTACATATTACGTCTGTAGTCCAGACTCTCATCTGTTACATATTACGTCTGTAGTCTCTCATACTGTTCATCTGTTATATATTAGGCCTGTAGTCCAGACTCTCATCTGTTACATATCATGTCTGTAGTCCAGACTCTCATCTGTTACATATTAGGTCTGTAGTCCAGACTCTCATCTGTTATATATTAGGCCTGTAGTCCAGACTCTCATCTGTTATATATTAGGCCTGTAGTCCAGACTCTCATCTGTTATATATTAGGCCTGTAGTCCAGACTCTCATCTGTTATATATTAGGCCTGTAGTCCAGACTCTCACCTGTTACATATTACGTCTGTAGTCCAGACTCTCGTCTGTTACATATTAGGCCTGTAGTCCAGACTCTCATCTGTTACATATTATGTCTGTAGTCCAGACTCTCATCTGTTACATATTAGGCCTGTAGTCCAGACTCTCATCTGTTACATATTAGGTCTGTAGTCCAGACTCTCATCTGTTATATATTAGGCCTGTAGTCCAGACTCTCATCTGTTATATATTAGGCCTGTAGTCCAGACTCTCATCTGTTACATATTACGTCTGTAGTCCAGACTCTCATCTGTTACATATTAGGTCTGTAGTCCAGACTCTCATCTGTTACATATTAGGTCTGTAGTCCATAGACTCTCATCTGTTATATATTAGGTCTGTAGTCCAGACTCTCATCTGTACATATATTATATATTAGGTCTGTACTCTATAGTCTGTTACATATTAGGTCTGTAGACTGTCGTCTGTTATGTATTAGGTCTGTAGACTCTCGTCTGTTACATATTATGTCTGTAGTCCAGACTCTCATCTGTTATATATTAGGCCTGTAGTCTGTCGCAGACTGTCATCTGTTATATATTAGGTCTGTAGTCTGACTCTCGTCTGTTACATATTAGGTCTGTATCTGTCTGTCTGTCTGTAGTCCAGACTCTCATCTGTTACATATTAGGCCTGTAGTCCAGACTCTCATCTGTTATATATTAGGCCTGTAGTCCAGACTCTCGTCTGTTACATATCAGGTCTGTAGTCCAGACTCTCGTCTGTTACATATTACGTCTGTAGTCCAGACTCTCATCTGTTATATATTAGGCCTGTAGTCCAGACTCTCATCTGTTACATATTAGGCCTGTAGTCCAGACTCTCATCTGTTACATATTAGGTCTGTAGTCTGTCGTCTGTTACATATAAGGTCTGTTTTCTGTCATCTGTTACATATTACGTCTGTAGTCCAGACTCTCATCTGTTACATATTAGGCCTGTAGTCCAGACTCTCATCTGTTACATATTATGTCTGTAGTCCAGACTCTCATCTGTTATATATTAGGTCTGTAGTCCAGACTCTCATCTGTTATATATTAGGCCTGTAGTCCAGACTCTCATCTGTTATATATTAGGCCTGTAGTCCAGACTCTCATCTGTTACATATTATGTCTGTAGTCCAGACTCTCATCTGTTATATATTAGGCCTGTAGTCCAGACTCTCATCTGTTATATATTAGGCCTGTAGTCCAGACTCTCATCTGTTACATATTATGTCTGTAGTCCAGACTCTCATCTGTTATATATTAGGTCTGTAGTCCAGACTCTCGTCTGTTACATATTACGTCTGTAGTCCAGACTCTCATCTGTTACATATTACGTCTGTATTCCAGACTCTCATCTGTTACATATTACGTCTGTAGTCTGTCGTCTGTTACATATTACGTCTGTAGTCCAGACTCTCGTCTGTTACATATGAAGTTTATAGTTGAGTATAGAGGTCTACATCGAACACTGTGTTCCTTACCCATCAGCATCTCTTCAGTATTGTTAATGGAAAGATGGCTTCATTGAAATTAAGAACTGGCTTGTCTACAGATATTTTCTGAGACAGTACTAAAACAGCTGTCAATAATTTTGTAAAATACATGTTGGGTTGTAATTTCATTATTCTACATACATATATAGGATTTTGAATGAAAATTTATCTCACATGTAATGATAACTTGTGTAAGATACTTTATATGATTTTTCACATAACTCGGAAAAATGCCATTTTAACAGATTTTAAATCAAAGCATGGAGGAGAAATTCAGACAATTGTTGTGTTGTGCCATTTTTGATGTAAAGTGGTTATCCATGTTATAATATTACAGTTTATTTCTGGCCCAACCAATCAAAAACACTCCAGGTTATATTACACGAGTGACATATACACATTATTATCACATGTACAAATTCACTAGATAACAGGAGGATCATGTGATAATAGTTTGTAATACAACGTGACACTACACACGTCTTCCTGTTCTTCACTTTAAGTAGGAGGTCATCTTTTATCAGAAACAATCTCTGTTCAATATGTATTGCAGGTTTAGCTGACGGGGATGTTGGCCTGGCTGATGAGCTTCTACAGAATTGTTTAAAACGGTTTCCTAAGGTTAGTTTACTACTTATTCATCAATGAAGCATGGATGATAAAGCAGAAATCTACATCTATGAAATATATTTCAAGAAGATTCGAAATGTGTGGAAATGTGTATCTATGAAATATATTTAAGTAAAAAAAGACAAATTTTTTCATCTCCAATTTGAAATATGATATTATAATAATACCAGATTTAATTAGAAGACAATTTATTAAAGGATATTGTAATAAAATTATCTGTATTTCATCACATGCTTTTGTCTTTGCCTTGAAATATAATACTGAAATAATGCCAAATTAAAAGTAAACGACAATTTATGAAAGGACACTACAATATAATGATAACTGTATTCAATGGTAAACCTATTGTGTGTGACCATTGTTCAAGTTTTTGTTGATGTTTATGAAGATGAAACATGTTTTATTTTGTTTACAGGGTGCTTTGTTTTTATTTTTTGCGGGAAGAATAGCAGAAGTGAGAGGAAATATAGATAAGGTAAATATGCTAATGAAGTAGATCTTACTAGTATCAACAATTATTCTGCAATTAGCCCAACCCACAACTTCAAGTCATATTCCACTAGAATTATTGAAACATTGAACAGACTTTTTATAAATGCCAGAGATTTTCAGGCAAATATCATAGTGCTCACTATTGGTATTTGATCGTAATGTTGAATTCTTTTTAAGTGAAGGCAATTTTCCAAATGACATTGGGAGAATAGGAATTCAAACTGATGGTTTCTTATGAAGGAATTAATTAGCAAAGCCACAAAGTGGCAAATATTTGTTGAAATGTTTTAATGAGTTTGGATTATGCTATTTAAGAGGCAGATGGCCTAGTGGTAGGACATTGGGCTGGTGGTCTAGAGGTACAATGGCCTTGTGGTAGGATGTTGGACTGGTGATGGTTAGAGACACTGTGGCCTTGTGATAGGATGTTGGACTGGTGATGGTAAGAGGCACAGTGGCCTTGTTGGATGTTGGACTGGTGATAGTAAGAGGCAGAGTGGCCTTGTGGTTGGATGTTGAGCTGGTGGTCTAGAGGCATAGTGGCCTTGTGGTAGGATGTTGGACTGGTGATGGTAAGAGGCAGAGTGGCCTTGTGGTTGGATGTTGAGCTGGTGGTCTAGAGGCATAGTGGCCTAGTGGTAGGATGTTGGACTGGTGATGTTTAGAGGCATAGTAGCCTTGTGGTAGGATGTTGGACTGGTGATGGTTAGAGGCAAAGTGGCCTTGTGGTTGGATGTTGAGCTGGTGGTCTAGAGGCATAGTGGCCTTGTGGTAGGATGTTGGACTGGTGATGGTAAGAGGCAGAGTGGCCTTGTGGTTGGATGTTGAGCTGGTGGTCTAGAGGCATAGTGGCCTTGTGGTAGGATGTTGGACTGGTGATGTTTAGAGGCATAGTAGCCTTGTGGTAGGATGTTGGACTGGTGATGGTTAGAGGCAAAGTGGCCTTGTGGTTGGATGTTGAGCTGGTGGTCAAGAGGCATAGTGGCCTTGTGGTAGGATGTTGGACTGGTGATGGTTAGAGACACTGTGGCCTTGTGGTAGGATGTTGGGCTGGTGGTCTAGAGGCATAGTGGCCTTGTGGTAGGATGTTGGACTGGTGATGGTTAGAGGCAGAGTGGCCTTGTGGTTGGATGTTGAGCTGGTGGTCTAGAGGCATAGTGGCCTTGTGGTAGGATGTTGGACTGGTGATGGTTAGAGGCAAAGTGGCCTTGTGGTTGGATGTTGGGCTGGTGGTCTAGAGGCATAGTGGCCTAGTGGTAGGATGTTGGACTGGTGATGTTCAGAGGCATAGTAGCCTTGTGGTAGGATGTTGGACTGGTGATGGTTAGAGGCAAAGTGGCCTTGTGGTTGGATGTTGAGCTGGTGGTCTAGAGGCATAGTGGCCTTGTGGTAGGATGTTGGACTGGTGATGGTTAGAGACACTGTGGCCTTGTGGTAGGATGTTGAGCTGATTTTCTAGAGGCATAGTGGCCTTGTGGTAGGATGTTGGACTGGTGATGGTTAGAGGCATAGTGGCCTTGTGGTAGGATGTTGGACCGGTGATGGTTAGAGGCATAGTGGCCTTGTGGTAGGATGTTGGACTGGTGATGGTTAGAGGCATAGTGGCCTTGTGGTAGGATGTTGGACTGGTGATGGTTAGAGACAGTGGCCTTGTGGTAGGATGTTGGACCGGTGATGGTTAGAGGCATAGTGGCCTTGTGGTAGGATGTTGGACTGGTGATGGTTAGAGGCATAGTGGCCTTGTGGTAGGATGTTGGACTGGTGATGGTTAGAGGCAAAGTGGCCTTGTGGTTGGATGTTGAGCTGGTGGTCTAGAGGCATAGTGGTAGGATGTTGGACTGGTGATGGTTAGAGACACTAAAAATAAAGAAATATAATGTCTGCTGTCAGGATTGTTAGCACTGAGTCTGTTCTTCTTATTAAACATGGCTCTGTATTACTGTATTTTATCCTATGAGACTACTAGGGTTTCAATACAGGAAACAACACATCACTGTAATATTTAATGACAACATGTGTGTTCTAATCATCTTCGATGATTGTGTTCTCTCAGGCGTTATGTAAGTTTGAAGAGTCTATAGAATGCCAGCAGGAGTGGAGACAGTTTCATCACCTTTGTTTCTGGGAACTCATGTGGTGTTATTGGTAAGTATAGAATAAATTTGATTTATTCTATAATTATGACACCAACAATAAGTTTTATATATAAATTACTTCAGTGGGCCATGTCTGACAGAGGACTCAAACCCCAATCATTAAGGGGGAAGTTAGTGTGTCACCACTTTACCACTTTACCATCCAGTCTATCATTATTGTAGGAGCTACATACTGTATTTCTGGCTAGTGTGTTTTAAAGTTGAGTTTTCCTACACTTTCTCCTTCACAGCAATGTAATATGGAGATGTGCAGTTTCAAAAAGAAATAAATAAAAATTCATACCATATTCAATCCCATCAAACAATAGTCATTGATCATTATTATAATTATATAATTGTTGATTCAGATAATGCTAAATTCATTTAACTAATCACATGCTAGACACATTAGAATACTATTAACGCATCATTGAAATCCAGATACAAGGCCCATTAAGATACCAGTAACTTATCATTAAAATCTTGGTGCTAGACTCATTAAAATATTGTTAACTCACCATTAAAATCTAGATGCCAGGCCCAATAAAATACCTTTATTTAATTAATATTGTGACAACTTGCTAAGAACAGATTAAAGAACCCATTAAACCAAGTTTATATCTTACTATCACATAAGTATCTACTATGACCTTGTGCAATAACACCTAGTTAGCATTGCTGTGATTGGCTAAAGGTTCTCACTGCTTCTACATGTGGCATCATAATTTCATGGCATCATAGTCATTGTGACATCACTAAAGAAAACAATAAAGAATCCAGAAAAATGATATAATAACAATAAAGAGGTCCAATGAAATACTATTTTCACGAGTGCTTTTAACGCTATGTTATCTGAGAAGCGGAATATTTTAATATCTATGAAACTTGACATATATGTTTCTTTTCACGTTGCATGATGTAGTGTCGTTAAAATGAATGAAAAAAAAGAAACTCAGCCTCATTTTAGTAATTTCATATGAAATAGTACATAGATCAATATATGATATCAATTTTTATATAGGTTGATGGTTCTAAATTATTTTACAGTCACTAACCAATTTATGACATTTAGCATTGTGATTTACAAAGAACACTTAACTGTATGTGATGCTGATTGGATATTTCATTAACAGTTTCAAATCTGATTGGCTGATGGCGATGAAGTATGCAGAGAAGCTGTGTAAGGAGAGTCGTTGGAGTAAGGCTACCTATACCTACCTGAAGGCTTGCTTCTTACTTATGTGTGAAGATCGGTCGCAGGACACACAGGATCATCTTATCTATCTATTTGGGTAGGAAATATTCTACATGTAATAGCTCCCACTTATAAGTTTAATGGTAGATTTTCATTTGGATGTATTCTCACAAGGCTTGAAATATCTCTTCGAAAGGTCTCTCAAGACAGGTTTTGTTGTAATCCTTCTCATGGTAGGATCTTATCTATACAGAATAATCGTCTTTAAAGGTAGGTATACACAATATCAGTACAGTGGTCTCTCAAGACAGGTTTTGTTGTAATCCTTCCTTTAAGTTGGTTTCTTATGGGATTTCTTGTCTCTACAAGAAGATGGTCTTTAAAGGTAGGTATACACACTATCAGTACAGTGGTCTCTCAAGACAGGTTTTGTTGTAATCCTTCTCATGGTAGGATCTTATCTATACAGAATAATGGTCTTTAAAGGTAGGTATACACACTATCAGTACAGTGGTCTCTCAAGACAGGTTTTGTTGTAATCCTTGTCATGAGGGATTTCTTGTTTATACAGAATAAGTAGGTTTACGACTGTAGGTCATCAGATGGCTGGTCTCTCAAGACAGGTTTATGAGGGCTGATTGATAAGTAGTGAGCCTCGTATTTATGGATTTGACTTTTGGCAGACATATTGCATGATTTTTCAACATAATCCCCTTCAGTATCTATACACTTTGTTTAAGGGCCTCGATGCCACTTTTAAAGAATTCCTTTTCTTGACCGTTCAGAAAGTCCTCCACAGCATGTATGATGTTATCATCTGAATGAATGTGGGTATCAGAAATGACCTTTTTCAAATTTGGAAATAGATGAAAGTCTGATGGAGCAAGATCAGGCGAATAAGGGAGACGCTCCATGAATTCAGACCTCAATTGTTAATGGAGTCATAGCAATGACAGTCTTGTTAACAATGGCATTGTCCGGGTGGAACAACTGCCTATAAAGTGATGTATAATATATGCCATTGATTGTTCGTCCAGTCTGCAGATAATTTACCATCAGAATACCATTAGCATCCCAGAAAACAGAGGCCATAACCTTTCCAGCTAATGGAACAGTCTTTGCCTTTTTTGATGGGGGTGAAATAGGGGGCCTCAATTGTTTAGACTGTTGTTAGGCCTCTGGGTTGAAATGATGGACCCACCTGTCATATACAGTCACAAACCTCTGCAGAAAGTTTGAAGGATCTGCCTCTAAAAAGGTTCAGATTGGCCTGGTGTGCTTCTGATTAACGGTCAGAAGTCGTGGTACCCAATGGTCTGAAAGCTTTCTCACTGAAAGATCTTCCATAAGAATAGAATGTACACTTTCCTGTGAAATCCCAACTGTACTGGCTATAGATCTCTGTAACTCGCCTGTCAGCCATAACAATATCATGGACTTTATTGACCATTTCTAGGGTTGCAACAGTAACAGGCCTTCCGCGACGAGCGTCACTGTAGCATATGAAGAGACATCATTCTCAAGTGTTGCTATCATATCAGTATGAATATCCTTAGGTGCTAGACCTTCCTTATGCAGATTTTGTCCATTTTGCAAAAGTCACTTGCCTTGTTTATTTTAGAGTGTTACCTTTTTGACATAAACTGACCAAGTGACACCAGTCTTCAGGTACATAGCCTTAAATAGTCAGAGAATAGTAGAACTGAAGACTCACAACATATCAATCAGCCCTTGTACTTCTGTAGTTCATCAATCAGGTGGTCACTCTGGACAGTTTTACTTCTGTGGTTCTTTAAGAGGGTGGTCTCTCAAGACAGTTTTACTTCTGTGGTTCTTTAAGAGGGTGGTCTCTCAAGACAGTTTTACTTCTGTGGTTCTTTAAGAAGGTGGTCTCTCAAGACAGTTTTACTTCTGTGGTTCTTTAAGAGGGTGGTCTCTCAAGACAGTTTTACTTCTGTGGTTCTTTAAGAGGGTGGTCTCTCAAGACAGGTTTTGTTGTTATCCTCCCTTTAGGTTTCTCATGACTGAATGATGGTCATTAAAGATAGGTTTACTACTGTAGTACAGTGGTCTGTTGCGACAGGTTTACTCCTGCAGATCCTTAGGAAGGAAGTGTTTCAAGACTGGTTTACTTCTATAGATCTCCAGGAGGATGGTTTCATAGGACAAGTTTACTTTTGTTATTCTTTAAGAGGGTGGTTTCTCAAAGCAGAGTTACTGTGATTTTTGATAAAGAGTTTCTACAGACTGGTAAGATATTTAGTTACCCAGTATTGATAAAAGTAGTTAAGCTCAACTGATTTTCAGGTAGGGCAACCTTTCAGAACAAATTTTCAGGTAGGGCAACCTTTCAGAACAAATTTTCAGGTAGGGCAACCTTTCAGAACAAATTTTCAGGTAGGGCAACCTTTCAGAACAAATTTTCAGGTAGGGCAACCTTTCAGAACAAATTTACAGGTAGGGCAACCTTTCAGAACAAATTTTCAGGTAGGGCAACCTTTCAGAACAAATTTTCAGGTAGGGCAACCTTTCAGAACAAATTTTCAGGTAGGGCAACCTTTCAGAACAAATTTTCAGGTAGGGCAACCTTTCAGAACAAATTTTCAGGTAGGGCAACCTTTCAGAACAAATTTTCAGGTAGGGCAACCTTTCAGAACAAATTTTCAGGTAGGGCAACCTTTCAGAACAAATTTTCAGGTAGGGCAACCTTTCAGAACAAATTTACAGGTAGGGCAACCTTTCAGAACAAATTTTCAGGTAGGGCAACCTTTCAGAACAAATTTTCAGGTAATGCTTTCAGTTTATGATTTTATGACATAAAAGCTTTTCATCTTTAATGAATAAATGACAGAATTTCCTACAAGTTTTGAAATGTTTGTATTGTTTGTAAAGACTGTATATCTCAATAAAGGTGTATATTTCCAGAGAGGTACCAAAGTTGAAACAAAGGATAGCAGGAAAATCTATCCCATTAGAAAAGTTTGCTGTTCACAAAGCGAAACGGTTCCAGGACGAAGGAAACCAACTGCTATTGCCAGCCCTGGTGAGGTTGTCTTATTAACACAATATGTTTGTAGATATGCTGTGGTAAATGCAGCTAATATTGAAATACGATTATTTAAATGCGTCTTACAAAAATTGTGACAATTGAGACTTTCATATGTCTTTAATGGATCTCTATCAAACATGGCTTAATCACACTGGTATTTGATTGTGTTTCCCTGAAAAGTATTTTAATTAAACTCAATTCATCAGTAAAACATACTGCTTTCCCTAGTGGCATTTCATCGTGGTATTTCCATATTCATGACATCACACTAATGATGGGAGGGGTAAAGTTTACTATGGTGTATGTAAGAAAATTATATTTTTGAACTTTATTTGTTTATTTTCTATTGAAAAAAACTTGGTTAGAAGTCTAAGCATGTGACAGCAGTTAATGTACACAATTTAAATTTGTTTGATGTGTACAATATAATTAAAGTTACATTGCTTTTTTTATTAAAAAAATTTCTCTGACATGTTACAAGAATCATTGTGACTGAGGTTACCGTTAAGGTCCCTGGGCCTCTTGTTCATTGATATCAGCTTTTTCCCACGGATTCAGCATACTGTAAACTTTCTCAATTTTCCTTATGACAAGGATTTCAAATCCAATTTCTAGCCTGTAAAGCTTTGAGCCAGTGTTTAGTTTGTTATCACTGTAGTATTCTCTTCATCAGGGATTACGTTAGATCAGGCATGAAAAGTTCTCCTTGAAAAATATTCAGCCTCAGGACATTATTTTACTGTAATAAGAAGCAGTGATAATGGACCATTTTTTTTAGGAAATGGTGTATTTACTGAGCGGTTTCAACATCCTCAGTAAAAATGACCCTCTACTGGAACCTTTCCTGTTGATCACGGAGAAGACTATTAATGATGTGGTGAAGAACAAAGGTAAATTCTCCCAAATCAACATCACCTCACAACGTGTTATATACTGAATCAATGTCATCACACCTCACAACGTGTTATATACTGAATCAATGTCATCACACCTCACAACGTGTTATATACTGAATCAATATCATCACACCTCACAACGTGATATATACTGAATCAATGTCATCACACCTCACAACGTGTTATATACTGAATCAATGTCACCTCACAACGTGTTATATACTGAATCAATGTCATCACACCTCACAACGTGTTATATACTGAATCAATGTCATCACACCTCACAACGTGTTATATACTGAATCAATGTCATCACACCTCACAACGTGTTATATACTGAATCAATGTCACCTCACAACGTGTTATATACTGAATCAATGTCATCACACCTCACAACTTGTTATATACTGAATCAATGTCATCACACCTCACAACGTGTTATATACTGAATCAATGTCACCTCACAACGTGTTATATACTGAATCAATGTCGTCACACCTCACAACGTGTTATATACTGAATCAATGTCACCTCACAATGTGTTATATCCATACTGAATTTTACCCTCTTTTTTACCCAGAGTGTTTGGCAGTATGGTTCGTCTCTGTCATTTCCTTAGTGATCTGATTTGCCCTTCTGGTATTTGATGGGCTGTGACTTCCCCAATGTCCACTTACAGCTGAATGTTTTACCTGTCCACCCACTTGGAGTTAGCCCACCTAAAGTGATGAAATCGGGTTTTATTTTTTGCTCTCAGATTCCCATCCCTGTTTCATGGACGACTACTGCCTCGCCCTCCTGTTGAAGGGAGTCTGCCTCAAACATAGGTCACAGTATTTCCAGGCTCGACAATGTTTCACAGAAATTGTGGAAAAGTGAGTATTTCCAGGCTCGACAATGTTTTACAGAAATTGTGGAAAAGTGAGTATTTCCAGGCTCGACAATGTTTTACAGAAATTGTGGAAAAGTGAGTATTTCCAGGCTCGACAATGTTTTACAGAAATTGTGGAAAAGTGAGTATTTCCAGGCTCGACAATGTTTTACAGAAATTGTGGAAAAGTGAGTATTTCCAGGCTCGACAATGTTTTACAGAAACTGTGGAAAAGTGAGTATTCTAATGACAACTTTATCACAATCAAGCCTGTCTAAAACAGTCATTCAATGGAGCAGATATAATGTGCTGAACTTTGACTTGATAATGTGCTGAACTTTGACTTGATAATGTGCTGAACTTTGACCCAATATTCTGTTGATCTTTTACCTGATATTGTGTTAGAATTGACCTGCTTTATTAAAAGATTGGGGTTGACATTTTATCTGATTATGTGTTCAAGTTGTACCTGATAATATGATGAACTTTGAGTGGATAATTTGGAAATTTTACCTAAAAATGTTTTGAACTTTGACCTGATGATAATTTGAACTTTGATCTCTGTGTCAGTGAGAAGAACATTAAGAAAGACACCTTCCTTGTCCCCTATGCAGTGGTTGAGTTGGCAATCCTGAATCTGGCAGAGGAGAACTGGAAGGAGGTCAAGATACTTCTGGAGAAAGCTAAGTAGGTCGCTGTGACAGTATTTTGTAATGAGACAAGTTTCTTAATGTCAGCTGTAAAAATCATAGTGTTATGGATGATGTGCATTCAACTGAATTTTTTGTTTGTTTAAGTTATCATAAGTAACTGTACACTCTTTAAAATTGAAAATCTGCTGTATGTATGGATGTAATGGCCTTGAGCTTCTTGGTTACACCTGAAGTTGGCGCCCCAACCTCAAAACTATGTAGATTTTGAGAGACTGCACATTTTTTTTAGTCTGCTACTGGTAAAAAGTGAAACTTTGTGTAAAATTTCCTGATATCTACCCGACAATCTCTTGTGTTGGTATGTTTGTTTGAATGTTCAGGTAAATTCTACTATAAATTTTTATATTACAATACAAAATTACTTATATATCTACTACAGGAACAAGTACAAGGGCTACCTGTTGGAATCTCGATTACACTTTCGTGTTCATGCCGTCCGTCTGTCCATGTCCAGTCAGACCAATAGCAACAATAGCAATGAGGGAGATGATGTAGACGATATTGAATCGCCGTTGGGCTCACCACACCCTGGTAAATCAGATCAGGGAGGCAGTCGGAACAGCTGGACTTCAGGACAAGACAGTCTGGATGGTGGACTGGCAGAGACCAATCATACGACACACTTTTGATGTTAAATAGAATTAGTAAATGGAGAATATTAGATCATTAGATATGTACAGTTCAATAACTAAACTGGATTACTAAATCATATTTGTATTATCATTTTTGTTTTATGTATGGAATTCAAGATGGCAGCCACTTGTTTGGAAATTCAGTATGGCTGCCACAGTAATAATCGGCAGTACTTGCTTTTATGGTATGGAGAAAATACTACACCCTCTTGTGATGATTAGAACAAGTGGTGAAACATCATTTTTATGATGATTAATTTTTTTTTCCATTTAATTGTGAGCTTAATTTGAAGATATATGTCTGAAGGGTTACATTAAGTGTGATGACATTCAAAATTTATATTATTCTGTGATACACTGACTTTTTTACAGGGACCCGATCATTTAGTTTCTCAAATTTTCAGACTCTTTGTATATAATGGTAATTGATTTTGTGTTAAGATCAATAACATTAGATCTACACCAGTTTATATTGATAATATTTTTATGAGGAAGCATTATCATTGTTTAATCAACGCATCACGTCATGTTCCAAATCAATAATATTACATCTTGAGAACTTCTCAACATATTTGGTTCATATTTAGCCAAGAGTATTATAACACCAAATTTTACCCCTCCTCTAATTTTAGTTTACATAGGAGCAGTGTTTATTTACACCTCCTCTAATTCTAGTTTACATAGGAGCAGTGTTTATTTGCACCTTCTAGTTTACATAGGAGCAGTGTTTATTTACACCTCCTCTAATTCTAGTTTACATAGGAGCATTGTTTATTTACACCTCCTCTAATTTTAGTTTACATAGGAGCAGTGTTTATTTACACCTCCTCTAATTCTAGTTTACATAGGAGCAGTGTTTATTTGCACCTTCTAGTTTACATAGGAGCAGTGTTTATTTACACCTTGTAGTTTACATAGGAGCTGTGTTTATTTACACCTCCTCTAATTCTAGTTTACATAGGAGCAGTGTTTATTTACACCTCCTCTAATTCTAGTTTTCATAGGAGCAGTGTTTATTTACACCTCCTCTAATTTTAGTTTACATAGGAGCATTGTTTATTTACACCTCCTCTAATTTTAGTTTACATAGGAGCAGTGTTTATTTACACCTCCTCTAATTCTAGTTTACATAGGAGCAGTGTTTATTTACACCTCCTCTAATTCTAGTTTACATAGGAGCAGTGTTTATTTACACCTCCTCTAATTCTAGTTTACATAGGAGCAGTGTTTATTTACACCTCCTCTAATTCTAGTTTACATAGGAGCAGTGTTTATTTACACCTCCTCTAATTCTAGTTTACATAGGAGCATTGTTTATTTACACCTCCTCTAATTCTAGTTTACATAGGAGCAGTGTTTATTTACACCTCCTCTAATTCTAGTTTACATAGGAGCAGTGTTTATTTACACCTCCTCTAATTCTAGTTTACATAGGAGCATTGTTTATTTACACCTCCTCTAATTCTAGTTTACATAGGAGCAGTGTTTATTTACACCTTCTAGTTTTTAATGTTACTAGGTCCTCTTGTTGACATGTAACTGATCTTGTTTGTTAATTTGTTTATTACCATCCTTTGTTAAACTGTGAGAATATTGTTCATGAAGTATCAGTCATAATTGCAAAAAAAGAAGGAACACAAAATGACAATATTTTTCACATGTATTCTCTGCTTTATTTAACTAGTGCAGGGCTAGATATAAGACAATGTTTTACGGCCTGGTGACTCGGTTTATAATGAAGCAAGACAATATGGTGTAAGACAATGTTTTACAGTCTGGTGATTCTGTTTATAATGAAACATGACGATAATGGTGTAAGACAATGTATTACGGTCTGGTGACTCTGTATAAAGGTGTAAGACAATGTTTTATGGTCTGGTGACTCGGCAGATAATGGGGTAAAATTATTTCTTGGATTTGTCCTGTAATCAGCCCGGAGAGAGGTGGGTGAGAGCGGGGGAGGGCATCCATCACACAAATACCTAATGTGAAGGACAAGAGATGGTGTTTGTTTTTATCAAATAGCAATAGTTATTTCTTATTATCAATCAATGCATTATCTCTGGGTAACTGTGGTCAGTATATCAATAAAGTATAAAATTTGGATGAAATATATAAGTCATCATTGTGCATAATCTGTAACGGGATGAGCATATTGTCCACTCTGATGACGGTAAAGCAACACAACACAGAGTATTTATATTATTTACAATATTTAATTACACTATACACTATTAACAATGGTTGCACTTCATACACACTCTCTCTCGTACATTCAACAAGGTCATAGATTAAAGGCATAAGATATATACAAAGTAACAGTCACACTCTATAAATGGGCAGTATTCCATTATTTCCCAAATGTTCCTGCTACAGTGACACCGTATACTGATGGGCTGATATCCACCACGGAGTAAGTGTCAGTACACATGTGATGTGGTCACCGTCGCATAAAGACTGCCGGAACACAACAACCAGAAAAGTTCCAGAGCTATACATTAGCCAAATGCTGAACACAAGGTGGACAGTCTATCCTCATCATAAGTGCTGGCTGTGTCCCTCAACAGGCAACCCAGTACCCCAGACCACTTAGTAAGACATGCGTGCACCTCTGGCAGTTATCCCTCTCTACTGGGTTAAACTACAATAGATATAAATATAACCCTACATCGTTATTAACTCATCCCCAACAATTTACAGCAATAATATGGACATATATGAATATATATAATATGGTATAATACATATTTACAGCTAAATCAACTTCAATGTAAAGTTCACTAAAGTATGCCACACGACGCCTTAATATCTGTCATGCTGGCATGCACCCGTGCATACACGTGAGTGATATAACTGTATGTAGCCAAATACAACCCTTTATTATATATTATATCTATATTTACAACTACATATATGATAATAAATGATTATAATACAACCAATGTAACCTACAGGTCATGTAATGCCCTATACACCCTAAACAATACAACACGTGCACCTGTACACACCTGTGCCACGTATCGGGTGGATATCTATAAATAGACAATAATATGAAACCTCGCTGTTTATCTACACAGCAGTTGAACAACATATATAAACATATCCACATATGGGTTTGTGTGGTCGGTACTCACCGCAAGCTGCAGTTTGCGTATATTGGTCCCATAAAGGTAATATATGCCCCGGTGAGATACCGCTACCCTCACATGCTGTTTACACCGGTAGTGTCCATTGTCTCTCTCCTCTAGTATACCATGTCGCACATCCCGTGCGCGTACAACGCGCGAAATACAAATAGGGTAGTACAAAGCTATGTAACATAATCAAATTTGAGCACTTTAACAAGTTTTGGCTAATCAGCTAAATGATGATTTTGCACAATGATTACATCACAAACAACTTCCAGAACTACAGTTAATAGAATTGTATTATGCTTTCAGCATGAACAGTGTTCAAAAATCAGTTTGTTTTCTGAGGTATGTATTTCTGTGTAGAAATACACTACAATTGATAACTGGATTGAAAACTTAAACATAGTTAAGTACATGTAGTTAAATTTATGCATGAATTATTAAAAGGGATGTTGGCGCTCTAAAACTAAAACTCAGGATTTTGAAGTTGAGTGAAATTATAGTATCAGAATTGTAGTTAGATTGGTGAGGATTATTGGAGTATATCAGTAGTGTGTGTAAATATAAAAATGTTCATGTTTATATTGGAGTACCAATAGATACCCACCCTCTGTTACAGTGTACAAAATAATGCACATAGAAATCACAGACATTTTTAGATAATTCACAAATACAATTTTACTGTCGTATTTTCAGCCCACCATCTTATGATAGTGGTCCAGTCAAATCACCCTCTGTCCGTGGCCTGTGGTCTGTGGTCTCTGATCCGTGGTCTGTGGTCCGTGGTCCGTGATCTGTGGTCCGTGATCCGTGGTCCGTGGTCTGTGATCCATGAACCGTGGTCTGTGGTCTGTGATCCATGGTCTGTGGTCCGTGGTCTGTGGTCTGTGGTCTGTGATACGTGGCCTGTGGTCTATGATCCGTGGTCTGTGGTCTCTGATCCGTGGTCTGTGGTTGGTGGTCCGTGGTCTGTGGTCTGTGATACGTGGCCTGTGGTCTGTGATCCGTGGTCTGTGATCCGTGGTCTGTGATCCATGGTCCGTGGTCCGTGGTCTGTGGTCTGTGATACGTGGCCTGTGGTCCGTCTGTAAACAGTTTTTGTTATCGCTGTTTCTTGAGAAAAACTACATTGATCTTTCTCAAATTTCATATCTAGGTTCACATTTGTCCCTAGTTGTACCCATTTTATTTTGGGACTGATCAGAAAAACAAAATGCATGACAGGTGGCCATCATGGATTTTGAAGTTAAAGATTATAATTACTATCTGTGCAAAAAAATGTTCGTTTTTCATATCATTAAGAGCAAAAACAGAGAAGAGAAAAAAAAGGGAAAATATCCAACTTTCAAAGAATAAATAAAGATCAAACAATGATAGGCACCAAGGTCCCTCAGGGATCTCTTGTTGTTATTTCAAAACCAAATTTTATTTTTCAGACATTCATTTTTTGATGTTTTCTAAAATGACAAAATGAAATCAAGGGAAAAATAAAATTGCCTTATGATAAATGAAAATTACATGATGGAATAAATGTTTTCGGATACCAAGTACCCGGTATTCCGGTTATGACACCATATCATGCATTCATTTGTATTTATGATTATTTGTAATGTTTGTTAATTTAATGATGTTTGTTTATCTGTATAATGAATTTATCATGGAACTGTGTGTATCTATAGGATGTTGTAATCTGTCTCTGAACAATTCAGTATTATTTATAGAACATGGAAATATTTATAATAGATACAATATCAGTGCTGGGGGACAATTTACACGGTGTGGAGAAACTTCTGTGTTTGGGAGTATAGTCAATCCATCAGGACTATAGGTCAATCTGTCAGTCTGTGTGGGGGACTATAGGTCAAT